TGCCTCACAGGATTTTTACTAGAAAAAGAGCTTTTACCATCTTATCATCAAGACAGAAATACTGTGTTTCCTGGCAGGGATTCTGACTGACAGACAGGTAAGGGTAAAATTCACTGAGGTGATGGTCCTTTTGCACAATGGACTAAACCCTGTCCAAACAGAACAGTCACGTAAGACCACTGAGCCAAACACAAATTTTTCAGCCATCGGAAGAGCTCATCCACAAATAGGCACTACCTCCCACAAACAACTTTGCTGTTATCATCCAGGTGGATATCAAAGAAAACCATTTGACTTACACTTTTTGGTCTGTGGTTCTGTGGAGAAGGCATAACCACAAATACAACGGCTGCAAAAGAAATGTCCACTGCATTTGGTCTGGTGGCTTTGGGATTTTTAAAGGACACTAATCCACAGCATTCAGCTGGGCTAAGCATGTAAGAGTCCATTTCAAAGACTGTCATAATATACAGTGATTTATTTATTAATGATGTGGGGAACTGCTGTGACTACAGGTTATCAACCACTGTCAAATTTTTTCCCAAAAACTGTTTAAAATGCATTAAATCTACATTGTCACAAATATCTCAACCTCATCTTATGCTACAGATACACACATATATATACACAGTGAAATAAAAACTGCTAGTACACTTGATGTTTTATTACTTTTTACTAAAAGTATTTATAGCTTAAAGCTGCTTGTTATTCACATATCCAGATTCTTAGAGGGCATACCATTGATAAGAGCTCACAGATCCCAGGAAGCAGCTGTGAGGCCCAGACCAGCATGGCTGCAGACGGATCCCAGCCAGGCTCTGCCCCAATCTCAGAGGCTCCTGCACTCCCAGGCAAGCCAAAGCCCAGCCACAAAAGAGCTGCACAGGTGCACAAGCTTCAGCCAGAGGCCTGCCATACCATTGGCCACAGCCAAGGACTCGCCTGGAACACAGCTACACAGGCACACAAGCAATACAAGGAGGCTTGACCAATACCATTGATAAGTGTGTGGAGACTCTAGCCAAAGCCTGCACAGACAACAGGAATTGGGGTGCACAGGTCGGAGCCAAAGCCCCTCCCAGACAACAGCTACATAGGGGCCCCAGCAGAAGGCACACCTAGATACCATCCAAATGTACACAGGCCCCAGACAAAAGCCCGCCCAGAAAACAGGTCAGCTCAGGTATCCAGAAGGCCAGCACTCTGAACCCAGGAACTGGCATACTGGCGAGCAGCAGAGTAAAAGGCTGTTCAGTGGCTTGCTGAGAATTCAAGACCACTGGGTGAGCAAAAAGTTGCCTCAACAAAGGCACAGCAGGCTGCATCTATTGAAATGAGAAGACACGTAAACAAGTCTCAAAACCAGACATCCAGATCATCTAAGGCAACCCCAAAGGGCAGCGAGATGGAACAATCTGATTCTCAACCACTTGGACTCTCTGAACTGGCAAAGAAAGAGGACCTGGAAAAAATGAAATTAGAAATAACTGCTCAGATAACAGCAGAGATTGTGCCCATAGTACAAGACATGATTAATAAATCTAGAGTGGACACAGATAAAATTTTAAAAAATAGAGGAACTGAGAGACATGATGGAATCCCAATAAAGGAAACAAATAGAATCCATAAAACAGATGCAAACAGATTTCCAGGAGATTAAAAACTCCATTGAAAGTGTACACAGCAGAATGA